ACTTTGAGTCCAAATTGACTCAAATTTTCAGGAGATACTCAAAACAAGTCACAGATACAAGATCGAGCCGAATGAACCGGTTTTAAACCACCGTTACAAGGAAGGTTTCCAGAAACCTTACAACAGCGGCTTACAAACAGAAACCTCCTCCAAAACCTGAGTATGTGAGTAAACTTTCGAACCATTCTTTCAGTTCGACCTTGTATCTGTGACTTATTTTGAGTATCTCCTGAAAAGTTGAGTCAATTTGGACTCAAAGTGGCCGAATGATAAAATTTTGAATCTGTCACAGTCAAAGGCTAAAAAGCGAATTTTAAAAATATTTTATTTTCTGACCTTATTCGTCTCCATATTGAAACAAACATTGCCACGGTAATCAGTGCGCTCGATGACCTATGATCCATATGTTTCTGACATTTCCAGACATGTCTGGAAGGAAACAGGTGTGTCCTCAATTATCCGGCTTTCTAGGCCGAACCAAGCAAAAGTAAGAAGTCGCTTAGATCCAAACATTTAGAAGACACGTTGGGCTATATATCTATGAAAAAAAATCGGTATATCATTACGTGAGATCGCAGAGATATTAAGAGGTTTTCCAAAGATCTGCTGAAAAACCTGTCTTCGAAATTTTTCGAAACGAATAAAAAAAATAAAATACGTACTTTTGTTGTTCGTCGAGCGGCGAATCGAATGATGTATGAATGAGGTGTACGTCTATCAACACAAAAAACTAGATAGGTTTACAACATTAGATGTTACAAATCGAGGTGTGTCGATAGACGGGTTTCTGGATCGGACACGTAGTGGGCGATCTGGCCCTAGAGTACATGTCTAGACTCAGTTCCACTCAAGGAATCCGAATAACACCTTGGCGAGATCGAAAAGTGGAATGGAACGGAGTTAGTTCTTTGTTTTTCATGGAGGCAGCTTTTTCCGAATTTTGATATATCAACAGTATTTTGCATTTTTCTCTGTGAAGACTTAATCAAATCGAAACAATAAGGCTTAAATAAGGCTTAAATAAGGATATTCGTAATCAGCAGCTCCTGATGCATCAGAATATGTGTCTTTTAACTAAAAAAACGAAAGTGCTTAAACTTTGTATTAGCGGCGCCTTAACTTGTGGTTTAAAAAGTTCAACATCCAAGTTTCCTAAATTTTATGAAACCTTTTACAAATCTCATAAATGAGTGATCTATGAAACTGGATTTATGAAGACAAGATATCGCAGTAAAAGTATGCTTTTGTTAGAGAGTAAATAAGATATAATGAAACTTAAAGGTACTTTGAACTTTCTGCACCAAAACAAACTTAGAATTGCTGCTCTTACTCAAACTTTTCTTTACATGACGACCTACGGCTACGGCGTAATTATGACTGCTTCTTCGTATGGTGTAAACTTTACCATTTTTTATTTTACAGAGATTTGTTTCATGTATTTTTTCGCTCTCACGTTCTTAGCTTTGACAAACTAGTTTTTTAAACCTTTGGTAGCGAGCTATTTGTTGATCGGACATGTTCGCTAGTGATCCGGTAGAACACACATTCATTCACGTTCTACTTTAGTTAACCTATTTTCTCACTAGTAAGTTCCTTCAAAAACCTAAATTTCATCCCGTTTGTCTTTAGTCCAGACTAGGCATGCAACCATCTCAAACTAGAGCTCGTTGATCGATGATCGAACATGTTCAGTAACAAATCGTTCGGTGCCGATCAGCGTGACTTGTCTTGGGATTGTTGCATGCCTATTCAATAAATGCTGCTTGATCAATGGACAAGATAGAATAAAAACGGGATAAGGCGCGATAAAAGCATTTTTTTGATCTTGAAGAAGTTTCATTTTTTGTGCGCTTTGGAAAACGCGTGAAGAGAAGAAAATGTTTATATGTATAGTCAGCATTTTTTAATGTGCACTAGTGTTTAAATATTACAATAAAAGATACCGGTGATACTTCATATATTTTTCTTTTCACGTATACATTGTTGTGTGTCAGTGTGCGTTTAGATTTACATAATTCATATGAGACTTTATTACGTAATTTATTATAAGTACTCAATAACGATGGCCAAAACAGTTTTTGAAGCCTACGAAAACAGATGTCACGCTTTCTCTGAACTGTAGAATATTAATTACTTAGACGGTAAGAAAGAATAGGACGTTGCTTTCGACATTTTAAAGGAACATGGCTATTTACTAGATTATCTAAAATTTCCTGAAACGATTAGAGTGCAGTGTCCAAGTCCTCAATTTGAAGAAAAGAAGAAGATGTGATATCTGTCAATCAGTGGCGGCGCAAGGTCAGTTTTTCAGGGGAAGCAATAAACTTTAAAATGAAATTACGTTCGCTATAGTCCCTTTCTCTCTGTTCGCATAGTACACAATTCAAAATAGCAACAAATTCATGAAACTGGACCAGTCTTCCTATTTTAACTGCAAACGTATATGTAGATTGATTTAGATAGTTTTATTCTAGCAAATATACTGAAAAGCGCCAAAATTTTGAGGGCCCAAGTTTTTTTAGGGGAAGCAATTGCTAACCCGTTGCTTGCTGGTGCGCCGCCACTGCTGTCAATATTGGAGATAGATTTTCCTAATCACACTTACGAAAATCACGTTTATAAAGAAGACGCGGACTGCTCAAAGTAAATATATTGGGAAAAGAAGACTGTAGTAAATAATGACACGATTTACCAGGAGCATCTGGCAGACCAAAATCCGGCGTCGACCGCTCTGAAGGATAAGAAATATTATCTAGTTTAGATTGATGAATTGTAGTCGGCAATGCAGTGGATGGTGTTAACTGAAAAAGATTAACTATCTCATATAAACTACGATGTAAAATAGGATGAGCCACAGGATCTGAGTTGAAATCACCACAAAGAACAAGAGAGTTCTGTACACCAGTCACGTGAGTTAACAAAAAACTTGATAACTTAGCATAATAAAAATTTTCGGCGCCTGGTTTTCTGTAACAACAGCCAGGAAAAACTGTTGAGGAACGAAGAGTAAGTTTTAGTAACATACATTCTAATTCAGAACAAAATGCTACAATTGAAAAAGAAATAGAAATAGGTATATAGGCAGCTAAACCTCCTTTAGGGTTGTAATCACCTGTCCTAACTCTGTCAAGCCTTACAACAGTAAAACCCAGAATACTAATCTCACTATCATCAATATCGTCAGTAAGAAAAGTCTCTTGGAGACTCACAACAGTAGAAAGATTTTTTGACAAACAAAGTTTTAAACTATCGAGGTTTCCTCATAGCCCTTCAATATTGTGACAGATGATATTAAAAGGTAAAATACTTAAGATAGGAGAACTAGAAGATGAGGAACAGCTACTTAACGGGTGATTCAGGAATAAAAGGACTTTTTTAATTTTGCTATAACTTTGTCAGTTTTCATCCAATCGACTTCATTTTTTTTTCATTAGATTCCCCTTGAAATTCTCCACAAAATCATAGCTAAATCATAATTTCAGAACTTCAATCAAGATAATTAAGCCAATTAGACGAAAGTAGAAAAAATGTAAACTTTCTAAACTCAAAATTTTTTCGACTTGAACTTTTCCTTCTGCTACCATTTTCGCCAAAAAGTGTAGCAAAAGTGAGAACTCAGTTTATGTTTGGTACTTTCAAATGTGCTTTTTCTCGTGGTCTGTAAAAACCATTTTAAGAGCAGATGGTGTGCTCGAGAACGCGGTTACAAAACTACATCAAAAGTTGACAATCTCCCCTTTTGAAACAATGTGCTTAATAAAGAAAACGGAAAAGATGATTGAAGTTTGATTCCGCAGTTATATAAAGAAGAGCTTTGTTTTGATCATTTCTGATCAAAACAAAGCAAACCCGACCGAAAAAGCTTTTATTTTGATCGAGTTATGGGGCTTTTACTGAAAGCACTACTATACCCAAAATTTAAAAAATTAACGAAAAAGTGCATGACAACCGTTAGAAAAACTATTATTTCGCTGTGGCTTTTGATGTGAAAAATTTTGAATTGTAGCTAAAAGATAGAGCGAAGTCAGGGCTACAAAATGGCTAATTCAGTTTTTCTTACTTTCCAAACGTTAACACAAAAAATCAGTTTTGAGTTTAGAAAGTTTACATTTTTTCGACTTTCGTCTAATTGGCTTAATTTTTTTGATTGAAGTTCTGAAATTATAATTTAGCTATGATTTTATAGAGAATTTCGAGGGGAATCTAATAAAAAAAATGAAGCCGATTAGATGAAAACTGACAAAGTTATAGCAAAATTAAAAAAGTCCGTTTATTTCTGAATCATCCGTTACATCATCGCTAAAAGCACTGATTTAAATACTTATTCATCGCGTTAGTCAATTCCTTTGTCCCAACCGAATTTAAATGAAAACCGTCACGTAAAAGCATTTTATCAGTATAACGGACTTTAATCACATCAATATAATCATCAGCCAACGACGAAAGCCGTGCGTTAAATCCATCCGTATCAACTTTAACTTGATCAATTGTTGGCTTTAGACCGCTAACACGTATATGTGGCAATGTTGTTAATGGTAATTTTGTATTGAGATAAGCGAGTTTAAATTCTCGAATTAAGTTTGCTGTTTTCGCAATAGCCACATCCGGAGTATCATATTTCATGTTGACAGTGCCAATACTCATGATAAAACCTTTCGATTTATCAAAATGCTTCCATTTTACAAGTTCTGTCATCTGTTCAATTGTGCATGATGGTTTTGTACGAACTTGAACTTTGAACAATTTACCATCTAATGTAGGCTCACCCTGATCAAGATCGCGAGTAATGCTCGTACCAGTAATAGTAATAGAAATCATTGGAGGACGTATGTCTCAATTATTGTTTGATGTTTTCGGTGTTGATGACAATTTTGAATTTATATCAAGTGGCACTGAAATACTTGAATTACTAGGAGAATGTAATGAATCTGTTGATAAGACATTTGCATCATCATTAATACTTTCCGAAAATAAATTGATAAGCGAAATCAACTCATCGCGCGTCAAAGATTTCAACTCAACACCTGGTTTATTAATCGAATTCAGGTAAGTTGAGATAACCAGCTGGGATTTCGACATAATAGAGAACGATCAAACAAATGTTATATGTAGACGAATAACCAGTAAAAAACGTTTAGGCAATATATGGAACGGACGTTAATAATTTTAAATTCATTTTGATCTAACGGCCAAAGGATGCCGTTGCTACGACTTAGACGTTTTTTTTCGGCAGTTTTTTCAAATTTTATTTTGAATGGATAATTATTGATTACAAGTCTTTTGCAATGTATGTAAGGCAAAGAAAAACTGCCGATAAAAAACGTCTAAAAATCACGAAAGGAAGCACTTTTTTTTCCTTGGCCGTTAGATCATTTTAAAATTAAATAAAATTCGGTGAAAATGCTTCAGACAAGCCGCAGACTATGCCAGAAAGAAAGAGCAGAAAAAACTGGACACTCTTAGTGTCAAAAGAGTAAAAGAAGTACTATTTAACAGACTTCAGAGTCAAATATCAAACCGGCAATCTCTGAAACACGTCCGTTCACGATCACGATTACGATTAACACATAAACGATGAACGATAATTAATTAAAAATCATATCGTTGTGAAGTTCTACTCTTCCTCGATCAAACCATACGATTTTGATCTTCATATCTGTTACGTTCATTAAGTTAGTTAGACCACAATAAAAAGTGTCATTTTTTAAATTTTAGTCTTTTGGGTAAAAAGCGTCAATAGACAGAAATATAGAGCATGAGTAGCTCTACATTTTGCTAAAATAGCTTTTTTCGAAGTCTTTATATCTCAATAAAAACCGTGTTTGAATATGCTATAGAATGTTGTTTTCATACAAAATGTCCTGCGAGATTTAAAAAATTGTTTTGTCTATAACTCGATGATGAGTGATCCATTTAAGGTCAAAATTTTACCCTTTTTTCCTTCTTGGACGATTAGTGTGTGATAAAAGAACGAGCTTTCAGAAACACTTCGTTCCAGTATTAATTTGTGTACAGGATTTATCACAAAAAAGTTTACTATCGGCATAAGTAATAATTCTCTTTATGTGGACGAACGAGCATCGATTACTGTGGATCAGAATGTAGACGAGGTACGTTTGTTCCTTGGATGGCCTCATATTACAGAAGATTCGTTCCTAGTCTTTCGGTTATTGCTGAGCCTCTTCCTACACGTCTATTAGGTGAGCATATCAATAAACCATAAAAAGCGTGGTGGTATATAAAGTTTTTCTACAGTATGTCTCAACCTACACTGAATAAGTGATATAGAATGGAGTGCCATGGCCCAGTGTAATCTGAGCACTGGTCCAATACCAAATTTTTTCGAGTGTTCGGTCCAAAATTTTTTTCCACCTACCAATCCTAAATAATCCTTGTGGCATGAAAGCGAAATTAGGTGCTGCCACTTCAGAAAGATAGCGTGACTTTTGTTTCATGTCTTTGTGGCATGGTTGAATACACCTCATCGACTTACCTCGGAAAAAGGTAATTTGAAAAAGGCAATTTAAAGTTTTTTAACGTCATTTTTGGATGAAAAAATTGAAAAATATTGAACTGCAAGAGAAACAGTGAGCTTGTAAAAACAGTAATATACGTTTTATGATATTGTGTACACCGATTTGCTCTTATCAATATATATGACTGAATCGTACTCAAATACATACGCAAACCAACTATAGGACACTGGTGACATAAAACGAGATGATCTGAAGTAGGGATGTTAGTTTAGTTTTATTGTTCATTTATAATACTGAATAAATATAAATTCGTCATTTGTATTTAAATACTGAAGATAAATAAATGAAAAAAAATATATTTTTTATAAAATAAAGATAAATGGATCATTTACTTTTAAAAACTAAAGGTATAATAAAGAAATAAAGATTTTATTTTACGGAATATATGCACTAGACGTGGAAGACTACAGAATTTGTTGTTATTCAGATAACGTACTTTTTTGGAAGATGTTACTGATTGAAAACACCTGAACTGTAGCATAATTCCAAAATATAAAGAACTAAAGATGAAATAAATGGTTGGTATTCTTCTTCTGCGATCACAGTTTTTTTCTCGGCATTCGCTGCGCTTGTTCTATTCAATCTTCTCTTTTCGAGCTAGATTAGTTTTAATCGATCTAGGTAATCCATCATGATTTAAAATCACTTATTCGCACAATTGAAAAAGAATAATCAGCTCATGATTTGAAGTGAGAGTGAGGCCATCAATCTTTGACATACCAAGATTTCCCTGCTTGTTAATGAACTTGAAAACAGCAAACATAAAAGCTTTATTTCTTTACTTTACCTGTATTTTTTAAAAATAAATTTGTTTTCGTTGATCTATCGTTATTTTTTAAATATGAATGACGCGTTTGATCCGAGCAATTCAAGATTTTTCAACGTCATTTTTGGATGAAAAAATGTAACTTTATTTATTGTGGCGTTCGCAATCACAATGAAATGAAGGTTTTGTAGCTTCTTTATATATAATAGTTTGTTGCGAAACGCGCAGCTTTCTGTGCTATGACCGACCACTAGTTAATTATTATTTTGTGTTTTGTTAAGCGGTCTCTCAGGAAACGATATATTTTTTTTAGGTACTTATATCTGCGGACGACCTCTCAAGACGCTGAATCCACGACAACATTTACATCTCCCTTCGGTCGCTGTTCGCTAGGGAACTATCTCAAATATGTTATGAATTTTTCTTCGATTTCATGTGTAAGCTTCGTAATCTAATGTAAATCTAAACAGTTTTCTTGAGACCCTCCAAAGATCCTCAGAGATTCAAAAATATTTCTGAATTCAAGACAATGCTCACGCCTCCCTTCGGTCGGTGTTCGCACCTACGATAGGTGAAAAATGTTGTGAACTTCTTTGATTACAACAAGGCGCACAATGGAACATAATGCTAAAAAGTTTTCTGAGCACCTTTTGAAGATCCAAAGCAGGCTGGAAGTTATTCCTAATCGATTCATTGTTATCTGTAAATGACTTTTTTGTATTATCAAAAATGGCTGAATTCTTGCGACATATATACAGAAAAAAGTTGCTTAACTTTTTTTCTCTCTACATCAATAAATGATAGAGCTGCGAAAAATAGCGATTTTCTTCTCTTTTCTAGTTTCTTTACTTATTCACGTTATATATAGCGTGTGCTCACGTTGCACTGTACGTTACATATATATAACATATATTAAGACTGTTGTCTGTGTATAATGATCTCACGTTCCTTCGTTCTTTTTCCTCCATATCAGTCGAAGAATATACATCACAGCAAGGCGAAGGAAAACGAAGGAAACTTGTTGCGGACAAACTTCAAATAAAATTCAAATTTACAGTTGACCAGAGTTTATTCGGTCAAAATCTAAATAAAAACATAATGCTGTGATGATCCGTGCAAAATAATATTTTCTTATATAATTATTTCATTCAGCCACCTACACTGTTTCTCTCGAAAGTTAATGATTTTTTGATTTATCCATGTGGACAGACATACATTTGTGCGTTATGTGACCCTGGCAATGTCAGCGGAATAAAGTAATCTGAAAAATCCTGTATTTTTTCTACTATATACTAGCTTGGCGCCTCTTATCTCTACAAAGCGATAAAAGCCTCTGAGAAACACTCTGAAACCAACAGAAACTGGCAAGATTTTTTCACAATTCTAACAGCCTGAACATGCTGCCATTCATGTTCTTCAAATCATAAGAAAAATTGGAAGAAAACCCAAAGTTCTATGGAAACACTCTGGAATCGGACATCGTGCTTATCCTTCATATTGGTTCGAACTGTAGGTAACAATCGGCAGAAAACCAAATATTTTTTAAAAATCTTCTGAAGATCTCCTGGAGATCCTCCTGTTGTACCATTATATTCACCGTGTTGGCTTATCTACAGTTCACAAGTTTCAGCCATCTACACCGTATCTCTCAAGAGTTATTAAGTTCTTGATTTGTCCGTGTAACGGATATATATGTTGTGGCCAAACTTAGAATTCGGCCAGATTCGGAATTTGGCCGGCCAAAACTGGAATTCTGCTTTTGGCCGGCCAAACTTAGAATTGAGATGCCTACACATGGAAAATTCCGAATTTGGCC